AGATCTAAAATTAGCCAATTAAAATTTATATTTCATTTATACTCAATTCTTTCATGTTTTTTTCATAATTTTTTTTTTTTTTTTGTTTTTTAAATTTTGTTCGAAATTACTCAAACATTTTTTGTCAATGTTACTTCATATTTATATCATTTTTCAAACATTTTTTGCATTTTTTTTTTAAAATTTTTTGAATAATATAAATTATTTTTTAAAAAAAATTTATTTTATTATTACATATCGATTTGCATATTTTTATTAATCAAATTTTTATTAAATTTTAATTTCAATACTACTATTAACTTATTGATAGTTTGGATTCAAATATATCAAATCAAAATTTCAACTCTTCAAATCATATCAAATATAGCAAATAAAATTTCAATTCTTTTTATTGATGATTAGTTAGAAAATCTTATCACATGATAATAGTAATAAGATAAATCAATTTATTATCAATTCTATATTATATAATAATTAGTTTCGTTTTTTTTTTTCAGCTTAATTAAAATCACTCATTTCAATTTAAATAATTTTAAAAAATGCTATTTTTTTTATTTTAAGAATAAGCAATGATGATGCATAATGGTAAGATGTTAAAAAATACGATAGGAATCGTTAAAGTAAAACATTTAAATAATTAAAATGTGAAAATATTTTTGACGAATGGAACATTAGAAGAAGATAAAAATGAAAGTGAAAAGATGAAAGAAAAAGAAATGATTAATAATAATAATAATAAACGATGATAATAAACAACAACAACGACGATAAACAACAATAAACAACAAAGATGACATATAAATAATTATTTGAATAAAAATTCATAAAAAATGACAAGGTTAACAAAAAAAACTGAGAGAGAATTTTAGAGTAGAAATTATTTGTTTTGTTCTTTGCACCTGTTTTTTTTTTTTTTTTTTTTTTTTTTTTTATGAAGCACAATTTAATGTAAACAAATCACATCATAAACTGATGAAATGTAATTTATTAAATTTCTTAACTTACTTATAAAATGAATGAATATTATAAAACAGCAATAATAATTTAAATGTTTCATCCATTTGACTTTTATTTTAAAAAATTTTTCTTTTCGAAAAAGATGAAAAAAAAATTCAATAAATGCAGCTTTGCTGAATAGTTAAGTAAATAAAAAGAAAAAAAAAAATGGAATTAAAAATGAAAATTGAAAATAGAAAAGAAATGCAAATGTGAAGCAAATTTATTGATGCAAAAATTTATTCCATAACGAATAACATAAGAATAACATTTTATTAAAATAAATTTTAAATTTGCACTAATGATATTTAGCAAAAGCAAAAGTTTTATTTGTTAACCTGTTTAGGTAACTTTTTTTTTTTTGCTAATTAGTACAAAATGAAAATTTTAAAAATGAAAAGTTTACTCGTTTATTCATTCATCAAATGGCTAAATGATACAGACAAAATTAATAAAGTTGATGATGATGATGATAACGTAGTAATTAATATAATTGAAATGACACCAATTTTTGAAAACTTGATTTTCATCCATAAATTTTCTTTTCGCATTTGAATTTAAACTTTTAAACATTATAAAATAATATTGTAAAAACCAGTTAAAGTCATTTATTCATAATATCAGTTCTTTTACTTTCGCTAAAATATACATTCAATGTTGTAAAAATTTATTTAAAATATGAAAATTATTAGTGTTAATTAATTTAGGACAAAAAAGACTGTCACAGTTTAAAAAAAAAAAAAGCTGTCACATATTTCAAGAAAAAAGAAAAGAAAAGCGAAAAAAAGACATGAAAAAATGATTTGCTTCCATTTCATTATAAAAATAATTTATTTACTTAATAGCAATTCATTTGATTGTAAATTTAAATTGTTGATAATTTCTAAATATTTTAACTTAAACTCTGTATAAGTTAAAATATTTAAATTGCAGCTCATTTCGTGTAAATTTAACATTAAACAGAATTATTGCTTAATATTAATGTAAATTATAATAATGATAAGCATTTCATTTCTTCAGTTATTTCATGAATATATATTTTTATTTATTTATTTTAAATTTAATTTCATTTTGAGTTTAGTTAATTAGTTAATCAGTTAGCTTTGTTTTTTATTAAATTATTCATTTGATAATTTGAACTCTAATTAATTATTAGTTTATTTTGCTATTTCTTTTTCATTAAATTATTTCTTTAATAAATTAATTTCGGTTAGTTAGTTTGTTTGTTTCTATTTTATTAAATTACTCTTTTTACAATTTCATTTTAATAGTATGAATTCAAAGATGAAAAATGTAAAAATTTGAAAGTGTCGCTGTTTTATGATTTAAATAGACAACAATAGCAGAGATAAGAATTGATAATTTTAAATTTAAATCTGAAATTTTACTTTTATTTCCAAAATATTGCAAGAAGATTTTCATTTCCTTTTTTTGAGATTTATTTTGTTTTATCAATAAATGAAATTAAAATCAGTGCGCAATAATATCGCAATAAATATTGTGAATTTTGTAAATTTAAAAACGATATTGTTTAATAAAATGTTCATAGTTAAATGGTAAACAACTATTTGAATCTTGAATTAATTCAAAAAAAAAAAGGAAGCAAAAGTATCAGATTAATATGTGTCTATTTGATAACAATTATCAATCACTGATAATAATAATTATCATAATTAATTATTTGAATTAATAATATATCAAGTTTTTTGCTTAGAAAAAAAAATATAAAATTTCAAAATTATGAATATTATGAAAAAAAAAAAAAAAAAAAGTAAGAACAAGAGGAATTAATTATTTCGTAGGATTAGTTCAGCAGTTTTAAAAAAAAAAAAAAATGAATGCTTTATTAATTTAATAAAATATAATTTTTTTCAAATCAAAATATTTTTATTTTTTTTTTATTATAAATTTTTTTCAAATCAAAATATTAGTTTAAAAAAAAAAAAATGAATGCTATTAATTTAATAAAATATAATTTTTTTTTCAAATCAAAATATTTTATTCAAAATATTTTTATTTTTTTTTCTCATTTTTTAAATTCAACTAAAATGGATTTATTTATTTATTTATTTTTCTGCTTTCTCTATGAAAGTTAATTTGATTTATAAGCAAAATAGAAGAATAGTAAACAAAAAAAAAAAAAGCATTGCTAATTATGAGTTCAAATTTAATTTTTCAAGTTATTATAAACGAATTCGTTTTTATCTTTGCTAAATTTATAATTAATACGAGAAATTTCAACAAATTTCAATTGAAAAACTTATTTATTCAGCAATAGCTTTTTTTTTTACTAAAATTGAAATTAAAAAAGCAATTTGTACAAAAACAAATGTATAATCAAAAATTAAAAATGAGAAGCAAAATCATTGCTGAAATAATGATTAAATGTTTTCATCAATTTTCTCTTTTTTTTTTTTTTTTTTTTTTTGAATTGACAAAATTTAAATCTATCAATTGAATTCATCACAATGAAATGATTAATTATAAATTTTGTTTGGAAATATTTTTGTTCAAATTAGGAAATGAAAAAATCGAAATAACAATGTTTTGTTTTTCTTATCACTCCTTTTTAATTATGAATTTTGACGATGTGTTAATAATAATGAGCAATAAACTTTGCAAATTACTTGCTTTTTTGTTTTGCTTAGTTTTTTTTATTGATTAAAAATATTGATTAAATGTAAATATTGAGAGAGAAGAAAGAGGAATTAATTATGGGAAAGGTATAAACTTGATTAAAAGCACTTTTTTTCCTTCTTTTTTCGTTATTTCATTTCAAAATAATCAATTGTAATATTCATTTTTTGCTTAAATTGAAAAAGTAGAAATGAATGTTCAATCTAAATTATATCATTTTCTTTTCTTTTTTAAAAATTAAAAAAAAAAAAAAGAAAAATGCAAAGAGTAGTTAGAGCGAAATGAAAAGAAAAAAAAAAGAAAAGAAATAACAATTTTCATTTCTGTAAATTATTGGTCTATTTATTCTACTTCTTTTTTGTTTCGTTATTTTCATTTCTAATATAATTATTGGTAAATTGAAAATATCAGTAACCAATAACCAGTTTTATTAATGTTATACGAAAATAACATAATGTTTGTGTTTCACTGATATAAATGTTTTCCAGATAATTACAAAATATTGATTAAAATAATAAGAGGTTAAAATTCTTGCAGTAATAATTTTCATCGTTTTTCCTTTTCTGTTTACTACATAATCTGAATCAATGATAAAATTATGTGATGAATTTTACACAAAAGGTAAAAATGCAACTCCGTAATTCATAATTATGACTGAATTTTGTTTAGAATTATTAAGCTAAAAAATTATAAATTAAATTAAAATAAATAAATATTATATATATACACTAACCCGCTACATTACTCGAATGTATTCAAAGTTGATTAAATGTTTCAATTATATTAATTACCAAAATATTAAAAATAAAATAACACTACTTATTGTTTATCGTTCGAAATTTACTATCATCTGATTGCTTACAATACATTTTCCTCCACAAAATCACAACTTCTCAGCAATCGCTTATGATCCGCTTCATTTCAAATATTAATTTCATCAAATCTCTGCATTTTGCGGTAACACTGTGACACCGTATGATTTAGGTATCAATTTGATTGCAAAACTAGTACCAATCAATCTTATATGGGTTGCTTTATCGTTTTTAATCATAATGTTTATTCTAATATAAGGAGTCAAAAGGAAAAAAAAAAAGACACTTTATTACTATAACACCAAATTTAATTATTAGATATAATTGATTCGAATAAGCTATAAAAACTATGATTAAGAACTACGAATAAATAGAGAACAACGATAAATAATTTAAAATTAAAAGAAATTAATTTAAGTAAACTGAACGCGAACAGCTAGTGTAACTGCATGGCATAACAACTAATATAGGACTGATAAAAGTAAGATCTGAAGAATACCGCTCAATTAAAATGCTTTTTTTTTTTTTTTTTTGATAATATTAATGATTTATAATCTATGCTTGAGGATTTCGGAACTTTTGACCAGCGTAAATGGCAGCTGATCCAAGTTCTTCTTCAATACGAAGTATCTGATTGTATTTGGCGAGACGCTCCGAACGACATGGTGCTCCAGTTTTGATCTATAATTTACATCATAAACAAAATGTAGTGTAATTACTCGTATATGACAATAAAAAAAGTTAGAAAGAATAAGAAAAATAATTTGGCAGAAAGTTTTTTTCTTCTTAGGAATTAAAAAATTTCCGATACTCATTAAGTTAATTATTACCGCTTTCATATTCCAAAAAAAGAAAAAAAAAAATGACCTTGTACATCTAATTCTAATTTTTAAATCACAAGCTTTTACATTAAGCAAGATTTTCAATTCATTTGTCCAGACATTCTCTAAGATTTTAAGGAAATGCTTCTCGATGAAAATGCAGAATGAGAGAAAAATGAAATAAGAATATTCTATTCATAGTTCCAAACCTGTCCGGTAGCAAGTCCAACGACGAGATCAGCGATAAATGTATCTTCCGTTTCACCTGAACGATGCGATACCATTACACCCCATCCATTTTTACGTGCTAAGTTAGCCGCATCAATTGATTCAGTCACTGAGCCAATTTGATTAACCTACATTTGAATGATAGATGTAACTTTAAAATGAAACAAAAGAAAACAAATTATTAAAAAAGTGAGAACATGTTAAATAAAAAAAAAAAAGAAGTAATGTTTTGAAACTTCTTAACACAGGAATTTTTTACCATTATATGAAATAGTAAACAAAATTAATTAATTAACCTTGAGTAACAGGCAGTTGCAAGCTTTCTTCTCAGCAGCCATAGCAATTCTCTTAGGATTCGTAACAGTTAAGTCATCGCCAACAATTTGAATATGCGTATTAGCCAATGCTTTGGTCCAATTTTCCCAGTCATCCTGGTCAAACCAATCCTCAATCGATACAACTGGATATTCCTGAAAGATAGTCACAATAAATCATCCATAATATATGAAGAATTTATGAGATGAAATTCCAGCTAATTTGAAAAACCATTCGGAATTTTTTAAAAAACTTTATTCTTTTGAACAGGACTCAACTCATTCCTTGAAATAAAAAAGAAAAAAAAAATATTTCCATTATACTGAATTACTAGAGCTATTCGCATGCTCTTTTTTTTTCCTGTGCATCAAATACGAAAAGTGCAAATTTTCGTATTTGACAATGCATACGAAATAAGATATTTAATCATGCAATCGATCTTACTTAACAATTCATTTAATATCTAAAATTGAAACCTTAATGAAGGATTGATAGATTTCCATCATTTGATCACCAGTTTTCCACTGGGCTTTATCCGAGGTTGGATTTTTGAAGTCTAAATCGTACAGCTTAGCTGATTCCTGAAAGAATGCTCCTTTTGTAGCAAACATGACAAATAATGCAAGAATAATCAAATGAATCTTACAAATCATCCTAACATTACTGAAATATTATTTAATTCAATACTTACCATATAATATTCTGATGCGGCACAATCCATAGCAATTGCTACTTTTCCCGTGTATCCAGCTGTTGCAATTGCTGTATTCAACAAATCAAGACCTTCCCTGTTATCCTGAATATTAGGAGCGAAACCACCTTCATCACCCACTGCTGTTGCATCGAGACCGTATCGTTTTTTGATTTCTGCCTGTAAATGTTTGAGATGCAACTCTGTTAAACTCTTAAATTTAAAACACGCAGTCTTTTATTTCTACATTATATTCTGACTGTGCCAATTACATTTAAAAAAAAAAAAAACGAAAACTAATGAGAATTAAATGTAAGATAATATTCGGAAAAATTAAATATACACTTAAATCAGTATTTATAATATGTGCAGATCTTCATCGATTGAAACCACATTCACCATGTATCAAAAACAACAAAGTTAGTAGTGAAAATATGTTAAGAGGTTACAAAAGCTCTTTTCAAGAATCGAAAAACAAGTATGTTTATGTCGAATATGGACTAAAATTAATTAACATATATTAACACAAAACCTTCAAGTAATGGTAAATTTCAGAACCCATGCGCATTGCTTCACTGAATGAACTAGCTCCAATAGGCATGATCATAAATTCCTGAAATCGAAATCACTTTTTTCTATCTACCAGCACACAATATAACAACTAACAGGATAACCTGACCGATTATAAACCGTATACGATTCGAGAGAATGTCAACATAAGACTAGAAGTAATAGCATTCTGACAGTTTTCTTTCTTTGCGTAATTCACTTAAAATAGGTGGATGTTTCCAGTGTAAATAATCTAGCGACGGAAAAGAAGGAAAAAATTGCACTATCAAATATTTTGTTCTCGTCATGATTTAAATGGAAATCTGTTTAAAAGTAACAGCATTATGATAATCTGAAAAGACTCAAAATAATTTAATAGTTACCTGCATTGCCAGTTTATTACCAGCATGAGAACCACCGTTGATAACATTCATAGCAGGAACTGGCAGAACAATCTGTTTGGTACCAGCCAATTCTGCTATATACTTATACAACGGCATACCTTTATGCACTGCACCAGCCTTGCAAACCGCCAATGAAACACCCAAAATTGCATTGGCACCCAGTTTTGCTGCAAGATTATGTGTAAGGATAGCAAATAAAAATAAGCCTTAAATTTAAAAAAAAAAAGAAAAAAAAAAACATCGCATTTGCATAGGAAGTTTCCTTATCTCAAGGACAATAAAGTTCCCATTTCCAAGCTAAACCATTCAATTCAATTACTACCTGAATATCCTCATATATCTATTAAAATTGTATCTGAACTATTTGAATCAAATCTTTTATGGATTAAAAAGTTTCAGTAAAGAAAAATGCTACCTTTATTTTCGGTTCCATCGAGTTCCAGCATAAAATGGTCGATTTCACGTTGTTGAGTTGGACAAAAATTCTGAAAAAAAAAAAAAAGAAAGAATAGTTTCCTTCTTCTCAGTTACTATCACTATAAATTTATAATTCCATCTTATTCTGCATATGACATATTGATTATTGAATTTTTTCCTTTAAATGACAAGTGTTGACTTACAGTTTGGAATATCTTACCAAATAGGTATTATGAGTGATAACATCGTTTATCGTTACAAAAATGTTTAAATTTGATAGTTGAAATAATAGATGCAATAGATGTAGCAAAAGCAAATGTTTCTCAGCTAAGTAATTAAGAAGAGAACTTCCAGTAGCTACACTGAAGAAAATCATAATATACACATACAAGACAAAACAAAAGCATAGCTTACCTTAGCAACTAGAGCAGGTCCAATATGTTCGTTGACATTTCTTACAGCTTTCAAAACACCTTTGCCATGATTCACAGCTTTATCATTGTCCCGAAGTTCAAGTGCTTCATGTACACCAGTTGAAGCACCACTTGGTACAGCCGCACGGAAAATACCTAAAATTAAGATATTACAAAGAAAACGATACTGCATTCGTAAATGCAAGGTCATAAATTTTAATATTCTTGTATTATATCTTTTCAGTACTATCAATTTCTAACTAACCTTATTTGAAGCTAGCTCAGAAACAGTTTTAGATGATGTATAACTTATAGAGAGAAACGTCGAGTATTAATATCATTCAGACTCCATCGAGGCAGGGAAAAAAAAGTATATAATGGTTGAGATTATTCCTCATTTTCTAAGTGAGCTGTTAATTTTGATAATCAACAAATTTCAGTATTGCAAAAACCTATACAAGTATATAAATCATGCAGTAAATATTATGTTCTGTGCAAAAATCAAATTGGAAATCTTTTTTTTAATTCTAAATTTTTCGACTCGTTTCAATTATCAAAATGATTAATTGGCCATTGTTCATCTAAATTTACAGTGGCATATTCACATTTACAAGTTTGTAATTTACTGTAATCTTTTGAATTCCGTACTCTTTTCATGCCTATATACTTCTTAACCTTGATGAAATAACTCGAGAAATTGAATTAGAAAAAAGATGTTACTAGCCATCGAAGAAATTTGTTTTAGAGAAATCTTGAAAAAAAAAATTGGAATTTTTTGATTCATCTTTTAGGTAATATTATCCCGGTTAGCTTTACTTACACGAAATTAAAAGAAAAAAAAAAGAACTGATTCTGAAGTAACAAATATACTGGACCTTTGTCGGTGGTCAAATCAACTTCGACGGTTGGATTACCACGTGAATCATAAATAGGACGGGCGTGAACACGTGTGATCGGCATAGTTGACGATGCGCTGCTTATTCGGAGAGAAAGCCACTAAAATGAAAAACACTATGAAAAGGAGACTTTTATTTTGTTTATGCATACATATTAATACGATTTCTTTTCTATATCAGTAGCAAAGATTATGCAAATAACAGTGAGATAAAACTGTCAACTAATGTAAGTATCACAAATCACATTAATTGATATCGGTTTAGAATCATAAAAGTATCTCCTCTTCTTAACTTTACACAAATATATTGTCCTGGTAGTTTTGTTCAACACTAATTTTTTTTTTTTTAATTCAGATGGTATTTGAAATGCTGTTACTGAACAAATTCACCTACTATTTCTTTCATCTTATCCAAATATTTTATTGAATTTTAAATCAACTAAACAAAAATAGCTAGTACCACTTGCTTTCCAACATTTCAATTAATTTTATAACTACATCAAATTTGTCCATCCCTTTCATTCGATCGTATAATAAATTTCATTTATAACAATATCTTTGTCTTATGGAATTTTTAAACTATACGCATTTTACGAGTCTATTATCTGAAATTTGACAAGAAAAGAAAAGAAGCTAGAAAATATTGACGGAGTAGTATGTCAGTTTCATAATGCACAAGAAGAAACTACAAGTAAACATAGGAAGATTTTCATACTGTTAGTGCACAGAATATTTTTATCTTCTTACAACATATTCATCGTTATGTCATAGAAATAGACGAGAGGGGAGGTGAGACGCAGAAGAAAGACGGAAAAAAAAGCAAAGAAAAATAAATTTTAAATCATTTTCAACTAATTTTTTGTTTTAAAAAAAATTTGCACTTTCCATTGTAATTTGTCTTTTAGCAGGAAAGAAAGTAATTTGCTACGTCTCATTGCATATATTTATAACAGTATTTGTTCGATATAATCAAAAATTAATTTATTTAAAAGGCAAAAAAATCATAACTCAAAAGTTTCATTTCTATATAATCTTCTTACATGAAGAATTTGAAAGGAAAAGAAAAAGAAAGCAAAGAATGAAAAAAAGACTTAATTTGATGCAATTAATTTCCGATAATATACTAATTCTACATCTGAAAATCTTCATTTTCTATAGAAATATATAAGAATACCATACTGTTTGTCTCCATCATCCATCAGAATATCGAGAATAACAAGTAAGAGAGGAGTGTAAATTATAAAGTTAAAATTTAAAGAAAAAAATCATTAAAAAATGTCCATTATTTTATAACCAAAAAAACCTTTATGTGAAAGCCAATTAAACAAACAATATTTAAAAAAAAAAAAAGAAAAAAAAAACTTAGAAAAAGGAAAAATACAAAAAAAAAAAGAAAACGAGAATGGCTCAATTATTTTATGAAATATTATTAGTAAGCACAAATTCGTGAGGACAACAACAGTAATGTCTAAATACTGAACACTTGAAAACAGGGAAGAGAGAAATTCCACTGAAAAGATGTTCTCACTGACACAATGGAACAACAATTGCTTCAAGTTAGGCAGATGACTGATTGGAGACCTATGGTCCGTAAGTGGACGATGGATCAGGGGTAGGTACTTCACGGATGGGCGAGTGGGTGGTCAACAAGAGAATCGCCAGGTGGCCGATCGATTGGTGGCCGGGTAAGTGCTCCATGGATGAACGAGTGGTGGTTAATAGGTGAGTGGGTGGTTGACGGATGGGTCGGTGAGTGGTTGATAGATGGATCGGTGACTGGTTGGTAGGGTAGGTCCGTGACCGGTTGATAGGTGGATCGGTGAGTAGTCGGACCGGAGTGGGTTACTGGGTGCTCCATAGGTCGGTGAGTGGTGGTTGCTAATGGGTGAATCGCTTGATGGGTGAATCAGTAGATGATTGGTAGGTGGGCGAGTGGGTGCTTCATGGATGGATGAGGTGATCGGTGGATGGACAGGTGAGCGATCAATGGTCAGCGACCAGTGGATGGACGAGTTGTGACCAATGGACAGGTGAGTGGATAATAAATCAGTAAACGCATCAGTGATTGAGAGATAAATGATTGTGGGTGATAAGGATGAAGACGGCAGACGAAAATAGATGATCCGATAATAGACGAGCGTGGGTGGAAAGTAGGCAAATGAGAGTCACTAATCGATAGATAGATTGGGTGTTTATTGGGTAGACGAAAAATGATAAGTAGATAGAGGTAGGTAGGTAGGTACTAGGTGGATACCACCGGGCAGAGAGGTACCATTGGCAGAAATGGTAGTAGGGTATGGGAAAATGGTTAGGAATTGGGACATTTGGAAGTGTACAGATGGTAATAACAGAAGAAATTGTTCCAATGTTAGAGGTGTACTTTCACTTTGCAATTAGCAATGAAATGAGAAGGAGAAAAAGGATCGTATCGAATAGGCGCGACAATTCCCTTAGCACTTTCATTCGATGCATATACATTCACGTAGACATTGTGCGCACACGCATGCATGCATGCACACGCACACGCATGCACGCATGCAGAGCACACGCACATACTCACACACATACACGCAACGAATGTGATAGAGAGAGATAAAGGGATTCCTGAGGGATTTCTTCATACTTTTTCATTTTTTCTCTCTCTCGTTCTCTCTCCTCCTCTCTTTCTTTTCCTTTCCCCTCCCTCTCTCTCTCTACGTGCATATATATGTATGTTGTGAAGATATGATGAAAGGAAGTGATGAATAGAGGTGACTGATTGATCAGTTCTTTTTTCTTTTTTTGCCCTTAGTTGTGAAAATAAGTAGAGAGAGAGAGAGATGAAATCAATAAAATTTTTGTTGGGAAAATAATAGCACTCTTTTCAGGCAGTTTTAATGTTCACTGGACAAACAAATGTATGAGATGAAAGAAGGGTGAAGAAAAGAGAAAGAAAAAAAGGAGTGGGAAGAGATATGTGTGTGACAATAATTGAGTTAACAAATTGAGCCTAGTTATGTTAGCCTAGCAAGCCTTATCATTCTTATCACCTCTGTTATTTTTGATTAATTGATCTTTATTCAAACACCACTGCTAATTTTAATATATGTTAAACATGGTATGATGCTAGAGCAATTAAAAGTTGCATTAATTATAATGAACTTTAACGATTTCAATTTTTCAATTATCTCATTGAAACTAATTAATATTTTTGCATTTGTTATAATTGCAAAAAATAGTATATTCCCTAATTTTTTTTTTATTTTTAGTGAGTAAAAATGAAATTTTATTAGTGAAATTAGTTGCTTATCTTAAAATTGGATCATTTTGATAATAGTACTGGATGACATTAACATTGGTTATATCTTTCGTTTTGATGAGATCAAAATTTATGTCGTCTTAATAAGTCGTTTACCTGTAAAATTTTTCAGTTTTATCACTAATTTAAAAAAAAAAGTTGAAATCACAAATATAGAAAGATTTTTGAAAAAAAAGATAATTTGAGTGATGATGATGATGGTGCTATCGTAAATGGTATTGCAATTCGAAATGCTTCAGTGCGAATGAAATGAGCATGTATGATTAATAATTGTTCGACAATGTAAAGCAGTTATAATTTAAAGAAAGAACAGAAATGAAAATGACGTTAGTATAAAATGTAAATGATTAAAATGATAATATAAAAATTTCTATATGTGATATTATTTTCACTCCAGAAATAAAATATTATCATGAATGTTGGAATATTTTGAAAATTGATAAAATTTTGTCAAAAATATCATGGAAATGATAGGAATCGAATTAATTATCGTATGAATCACAGAGTAAAATTATCCGATTTATTATGGAAAACTAAATTTTGAAATTGCTTACCTTAAGTGATCATGCTATTATAAAATTTTACACTGATGCTATACTTGATGGGGAGTATGAGTAATTAAATGGAGAATTTATTAATCTAAATATTAATTATACATCATTGTCAAAGCTTCGTCAATTGAAATGATAATATATGTTTCTGGTGATAATTTTAATTTCTTTTTCAATGCAATTTCACTACATAATTACATAATTATCCTTTCTTTTTTTTTCATTCTAATTGTTCGAAATTTCAATGTGTAATTATAGCTCATCTTTTTCCTTTTTTTTTATAATATAAATATTTTACTCTCAGTGAATTGCAATCATCTTTGACTATAGTTATATTACTGAATGTCTGATTTACTTTTAAATATTGGAAGAAAAAACCACAAACATTTAAATATATGTTACAAATTTTGTGAAACACTTAATATTAGTCATTTATCACTTATTAACATATAGATCTGATATATATTGCAACCGAAATGTACATATGCTAAATCTTAGAATCTGAAATTTAAAATATTGTAAAATATTTAAAATATATATTAAAAAAAATATGTTTAGAATATAATTTAAGATAAAGTATTTCGTTTTTTCGTTTTTTTTTTCCATATGTGATCTTATTAAATCTTTTTAAAATAAATCTTAAGAAGTTGATTTACAACTACGATTAAATTTGTTGCGATAATGTAATGCAACAAAATTCAATTTCTTAAATAGAATTTGAATCACAAAAAAAAAATGACGCATAAAATAAAAAATTTGATAACTATAATTATTAGTAAAAATAATATCGAAAAAAAAGAAAGGATTTAAAAAGAGTATCATTACTTTTTTTACCACTAATTAAAATATTAAAATTGAAGTGATAATTAAAAGTTTTTTTATCACTAATTAAAATTTTGGCTTACTGTACCGTACAATAGATGAAATCCTTTGTGTTCAAAATGCAATTTATTAATGTATAAGCACTTTTAATGAGCAAATGAATCAATAGGAATAATAGTTGGTGATAAACTTATATACTAATATGTGAAAAAAAAAAATTTTGTTTTCTTAGAATTCTTTAATTCTTATTAAATTTTTTATGAAATTTTAGTATGTATTTTGTATTTTTGATTCTATTATGGGATTTTCTTTTTTTTTTTTTCAAATTTTCCGGTTAATAAATTTATCATGAACGTATCAACTCATTCAGAAACATCATGAATTTATTGCTTTATTTGGTTGTATTATGAATTTTTCATTTTTCCTTTATCTGAAATTAGTATGAGTTTAAGGAACTTGCATTTGTCGTCTTATCTAGAAATATAATAAAATTTATTGTCCGGAAAATCGAAACAAATTTATAATAAATTGGAATAATTTTGTATTAAATTTATAAGTTGTAAAACTAAAGATTATATTGATTAAAAATTGCATTATCATTACATTATCAACAATCATTTCTAATTTTCCAAATGTAATTGAGCTTATCTGCAATCGTTGCAATGTTACAATTTGTTAACAACAAATACATAAATAATATATCTAAAATTGATTTCAATTTCGTTGTTAATATTGTTGAAAAAATGCAGGAATTTAATTAACAAAATCTTCTTGGTTGTAATTTAAAATTTATTTAAAACAAATGTGTTAGCTATGTTGTGTAGCACAAATTTTACAGCGTCCAAAAATGACACAGCCAATAGTTTTTTTTTCCTTTTTTTCGTTTTTTTTGCTTCTCTTTTGCTACTTTTGAAAATGTGTATTGTGCAATAGAATCGATTGTAATGAATTTATTTACTAAGAATTACTTTAAAAACAATATATTAATCTATATTTGATAATATATTGATTATCAACAAATGTAAGATGAAGCAGAAGAAATAAATGAATAAAAAAAGAAGAAAAAGGATTTAAATGGAAGATGGATGAATGAATATGCAAAAATAATCAAATTGAACTTTGCTGACACTGAAAAAAAAAAAAAACAAAATATTTAATAATACATTCTAATATAGGAAAGAGAACGATAAAGTGATAAAATCGAACATCCACGATAGTATTTCCCTGTATTCTTTTGCGCCCATGAAGATGCGCAATTATTTTACTTCGCTTGCGTTCATGAGGACTGTTCCATCCTTTTTTTTTCTAGCGAATATCATTTGCTTCCTTTATTGATCTCTAATACATCTCAATATGACATCCTCGTACTATGTGTATTGTCATTCTTCTGCACAAACGATTTTTTATTTTGTCAATTGTTTTTTTTTAATTGATGCAAATTTTTATTGAATTTTTTAAAAATAAATAATCAAATAAACATTTGCATAGAATCTATCATTTCTGATTTTTAGTCAGTTCAGTGGGATTTCTTCAGCAACTTTTTGTTCCATATTCAATTTATTTTTACCATCGTCTAATATTTTAATGTCATTATGGCTCAACAAAGAGCGCAATTATGGAATTTGCTTACAAAAAAAGGCGTTGAATTTACTACCTAAACAAGGTATAACTTTTCATCCTTTTAATTAATTATTATTCAATAAGCTTTTTGATTTTAGTCTTGCGGAATTTTTTTTAATTGATTTTGTAATTGTTGTTGTATATTTATATATTTCATATCGTGTATTAGTGATAGACGTAGTAGTCTGCAGTGATGGTTTTAAATTTTCTGTGTGGCTGTTTTCTTTTTTATTGAAATTTTATTTTGTCAAATATTGATTTGTTTCTAGTCTATATGAAAATCGAATTCTAACTCAAAACCTGCAAATATTTTCTTAAATATTAACTATAAAATTATAGTCTTAAGACCCATTCTTAATTAATTTTTGTCATTGGGTTTTGCTTTGTTTCCAATGTTTATACATATATATCTAACTTCATAATTTTATTTATTTTTTGGTTTCAAACGTTTCTGCGGCAAATGAAATGAATCTTAAGCGATTTATTTTTCGTTATTGTTTTAAAGTTTTCATTTATCCACTGCAATAAATTGGCTGATAAAGTATTTATATTAAAGCGTGGTTTTATCTTATGATTTATGATTTTTGGTGAACTGTTTAAAATAAATTTACATTCATACTGTTTCCATTAAATACTTACATGCTCATAGGTCCGTTATAATGTAAGCCAATGATTTTATGTTAGGCATAATTGATTTCATTTTCAAATACCACTCAATAATCAATCTT